ACTTGACTAGCAAGTGCTAGGCGATGAGTTCAATCACCAGTACCAAAAAAAGGAGGAGGGGATGTGGTGGCTTACACCTGTAATTCCAGTTACTCAGGAGGCAGAAGTAGGAGGATCCCAGTTGGGAGGACAACCTGGACAAAGTTAGCATAAGACAAACTAAAAACAAAACTAGGGGCTTGGCTCAAGTAGTATAGCCCTTGCATAGCATGCACAGTCTTAAATTCAACTCCTAGTACCACAAAAAAAAAAAGATATAAAAGTTTCTATTATGCAAGACAATTAAGTTCTAGAGATCTGCTATAAAACACTGTTCCTATCATTAACAATGATTTATTATGCACGTGAAAATTTGTTAAGAGGGCAGATCTCATGTTAAGTGTTCGTACCACCAAAAAAGAAGGAACATAACAATCTGAAAAAGACATTTTAAAAAATAAGGTAAGGTACTCCTAAAATCAGGACTAACACAGAAATCTGCTTTCACTACTTCTCTGTACTGGAAGTTACAGTCAGTATAATCAGGCAAGAAAAAGATAAGATACCCAGGTTGAAAAGAAAGAAGTAAAACTGTCTTTATTCATAAATGACTTGATAATCTGTGTGGGAAAAAAATATAATGAAATCTACAAAAAACAAGAATGCCAGAATTAATGAGTTCAGTAAGGTGGCAAAATACAACATCAATATACAAAAATCAACTGTATTCCTATATACTAGCAACAAGCAAAAACTGAAACTAGCCAGGTGCCAATGGCTCATACCCATAACCCTAGCTACTCAGAAGGCAGCAATCAGAAGGATACCGGTTCAAGACCAGTTTGGGCAAATAGTTCCTAACACAAAACAGGACTGGTGGAGAAGCTCAAGTGGGAGTGCTTGCCTAGCAAGTATGAGGCTCAACATTCAAGCCCCAGTGTTACCAAAAAAAAAAAAAAAAAAAAAAAAAAAATTGAAAGTAGAGGTAGAAGGCACAAAATCCTGTGTTCAAACCCCAGTACTGCCAAAAAAAAGAAAAAGAAAGAACCAAAACCTAAAAGCACAATAAATAGCATCAAACATATGGAATTCTCTTTTTTAAGTCAGTATTACTATGTACCTGAGGCCAGCCTTGAACTTTGAATCCTCCTGTCTCATCCTCCCAAATTCTAAAATTATAGGCATTAACCACCAGGCTCAACAAAAAAATTCTTAAAGATAAATTTAATAAAAGATATTAAAAAAAATCTGTATTCCGAAAACTATAAATAATGGAGAGATACTAAAGACCTAAATAAATGGAGAGCTATATCTGTTCATGAGTTGGAAGACTCAGTACTGTTAGAATGTTAATTCTACCCAAACTGATTTAATAGATTTAATGCAACTTCAAATCCCAGCTAGCTTTTTTGTAGAATCTAACAAACTAGTTCTAAAATCCATATGGAAATGTGAAAGTCATAGATTAGGCAAAACAACTTTGAGAGAGGTTTGAGGACTAACACTACCTGGTTTGAAGAAGTACCATAAAGCTATACTATTCAAGATAGTGTTGTATTTGCAAATGATCAATGGAACACAACAGACGGTCAGAAATAGATACACATGTACAGCCAACATATTTTCCACAAAGATAAAAAGCAATTCAGACATTCAACAAATGTTACTTTATAACTGGATAGCTGTATATAAAATAATGAATGGATCACAGATAGTAATGTAAAAACCTACAACCAGAAGTCTTCTAGAATAAATCAGAAGCCAGGAGCCAGTTACTCACACCTATAATCCTACCTACTCAGGAGGCAGAGATCAGAAGGATCTCGGTACAAAGCCACACTGGGCAAATAGTTTGTGAAACTCTATCTAGAAAACACCCATCAACAAAAAAGGGCTGGTGGAGTACCTCAAGGCATAGGCCTTAAGTTCAAAACTCAGTATAGCCAAAAAAAAAAAAGAAAGAAAAGGAAAAGAAATTAGAGATGAAATCTTTTGTGACCTTGAGCTGAACAGATTTACGTATGACACCAAAAGCATGAAAGCACTGTTTTACTATTTTAATTTTTTTTAAGTTTATTTAGTTTTTGGTAGGACTGAAGTTTAAACTCAGGGCTTCATACTTGCAACATAGGCACTCTACTGCTTGAGCCACACCTCCAGTCCATTATGCTGTGGTTATTTTGAGATGGGGTCTTGAGAACTATTTGCTCAGACTGGCCTCGAACCACGATCCTCCCAATCTCAGCCTCCCAAGTGGCTAGGATTACAGATAAGAGCCACCAGCACTGGACTACATAGTGAAAAATTTTAAAGCATGTATGGATTGTCACTGGCTATATGATATAGTGACTACCTCTGGGGAAGGAGGGAAGAGAACATCACTGTCATCTTTTCTTTTTTAAAAAAACCTGATGCGAGCTAGTCAACGATGGCTCACCTCTATAATCTTAGCTATTGAGGAGGCAGAAATTGGGGGGATTGTGGTTCGAGGCCAGCCTGGACAAATGATTCATGAGACCGTATCTCCAAAATAACCAGACAAAAATGGACTGGAGGTGTGGCTCAAGCAGTAGAGTGCCTGCTTTGCAATTGTGAGGCCCTAAGTTTAAACCCTAGTCCCACCAAAAGAAAAGAAATAAAAAGTGATGTCTAGGAGCTGCAGAGAATATGTTTAACATGCACGAGACCCTGGGTTCAATCCCCAGCACCAAAAGAAAAATAATTTTTTAATTTAAAAAAGATTTAAGGGCTGGGAATATAGCTTAGGTAGAGGACTTGGCTAGCATATGCAAGGCCCTGGGTTCAGTCCCAAGCACTGCAGGGGGGAAGAAAAATATTCTGATGTCTAAGTTGTACTCTCTAAATACCATACTCTAATAAAAGAAACTGGAGTTCCTTAGAGAAAAACTGAGTCTAGGTCTGTGGAAAGAAATCAATCCATACAAGGGGCCAGAAGAGTGGCTCTAATGGTAGAGCACCTGCCTGGCAAGCAGGAGGCCAAGTTCAAACCCCAGTACTGCAAAAAAAGAAAAAGAAAGAAAGAAAAGGAAAGAAAGAAAGAAAGGAAGAAAGAAAGGAAGGAAAGGAAGGAAGGAAAGAAAGGAAGGAAGGAAGTAAAGAAAGAAAGAAAAAGAAATAGATGAGCTGAGATTATTTTCTTGTGCCAAAAGGTAGGAAAACTATCAAAGATCACTGGGATCATATCAAAAGGGCAACAGGGCCAGGTATGGTGGCTTCACATCTATAATCCCAGCACCTTGGAGAGGAAGGGATTGGGAGGATCGCAGTTTGAGGCCAGTCCAGGCAAAAAAGTGAGACTCCATCTAACAGATAAGTTGGGCCTGGTGGTTTGGGACTGTAATCCAAGCCATGAGTAGGATTGCAGTCCGAGCCTAGCTCCCACCAAAAAAAACAAACCTTGAAACCCTATCAGAAAAATAAAAACCAAAACAGGGCTGAAGGTATGACTCAAGTGGTAGAGCACCTTCCTAGCAAGCACAAGACCCTGAGTTCAACTCTAGTACCACCAAAAAGGCAATGGAACGAACCTAAATGTCCCACTGTACTAAGATGAGACAATATGAATATCAGTAATAATAATGTCTACAGTACTTCAAACACTATTAAATACCTAAAAATCTGTTAATTCTGGAGATTAGTGGGCCGCTAACCCATTTCGTTATTATAAATACTGACAAAGAGCCAGGCATGGTGGTTCGAGCCTATAATTCCAACTACTCAGGAGGTGGAGGCAGATGATCCAGAGTCTGAGGCCAGCCCAGATAAAGGTAGCAGGAAGACCCTGTCTCAAAAACAAAAGGGTTGTGGGCACAGAGCAAGTGGTAGAGCATGTGCAAGGCCCTGGGTTCAATCCCCAGCACCACAAATACAAAAAAACAAGCATTTTGCTTCCCCTACACAAACCATATTTCGCAGTAATCAAAGAGTTAATGAAGAGAAAAATCTTTATAGGAGAATTTCAGCTAATAAATACAAAACAATAATAGAATTAGCAAATACCTATTTTGCAAGCCTTAATGATGGAACAGATCTAGGCAACAATCATCAATCTCCATCTCATGAAAGACTATCAGGAAACTTTTAGAAAAGGATGGATCACACATAGTACATACCTAACCCCAGTGATCACATTAAATCTTTAAGTACAGGAAAAATGTTGATAATTGCTTAAACGAGGTGAAATGTTGAACATCTCCACAATAAAAAGTTAAAAAAAAGACATAAAACAAACTGGCATAATTAAGCGGAGACAAAGCACTATGGTAAATACAGATGTTTTTGTATTAGTCTCTATTTTTATCTATGCATTTGAATACTTCACAGTCAGCAATATTTAAGGTGGAACTAAAATACCCAAATAAACACAGACTGGGCTGGGAGTATGGGTCAAATACATGCCTAGCAGTCAAGAGGCCAAGTTCAAACCCCAGTGCCACAAAAATAAAAAAAGAAAAAAGAAAAAAAAAATAGATAAAAGCAGACTGGAGAGAATGAATGTTATTTAAAACATCTCCTAGTGTCTTGCATTATCTAGGAAGGCAGACATATGAATCTTATGACTTCAGTGTGTGTGCTTGTTAAAAATTTAATGTTTAGGGGTCAGGCACAGTGGCTCACACCTGTAATCCCAGCTAATTCAGGAGGTAGAGATTCCTTCTCAACCAACAGCTAGGCGTGGTGGCACTCACCTGTCACTCAGCTACATGGGAAACACAAACAGGACTGCAGTCCAGGCAAACATATGACACCTTATTCCAAAAATAACCAAAGGAAAAAGGGCTTGGGGCATAGCTCAAGTAATAGAACGCCTGCCTAGCAAGGGACAAGCTCTGAGTTCAAACCCCACAACCACCAAAAAAAAAAAAAAAAACCAAAAAACTTATGATTAGGGCTGCAGGTGTAGCTCACTGGTAGAGCACTGGCCTACCATGTGCAAAGACCTGGGTTCAATCCCCAACAATGCAAAATAGAATGATAGTTAAAGTCAGGCACACACTTACCGTCTTAGATGAGAAGATCCCTGGAGGCCAGTAATTTGAGAACAGCCAGGGCAACATAATAAGACCCTGTCTTGCAAAACAAAACAAAACAAAAATTGGCAAGAGTGGGTCAAGTGGTAAAGCACCTGCCCAGCAAGTGTGAGACCCTGAGATCGAGTCCCACTATCACACACAAAAAAAAAACTTAACTGAAAAACCCCAGATTATTAACTGAAAAATCAGTTTAAAAAACAACAAAAAAAGGACTCCGTATGTACAACATAAAGCAAATAAGAAGTGTGGTTAAACTGGGCACAGTGGCGTGCCTATAATCTTTGCTACTCCAAAGGGATGAAACAAGAGGATTGTGAGCTCAAGCCCAGCCTACGCTACAGAGGGAGATCCTGTCTCAAAAAAAAACAAGCAGCAGCTTGGCATGGGTATGAGTCATGCCTCTAATCCCAGCCACCTGGAAGGCGGGAGGCAGAGAAAGAAGGGTAGTGGTAAGTCCAGGTCCTCAAAGATGAAGGCAGGTGTGGTGGCACATATCTATACTCCTAGCTACAGAAGAAGCAGTCCAAGACCAGTTTGGGCAAAAGAGACCCAATTTGAAAAATAAAGCAAAAAGGGCTGGGAATGGGCCCAAGTGGTAAAACTCTTCCCTAGCAAGCACAAGGTCCTAAGTTCACACCCCAGTACTGGAGGAAAAAAAAAAAAAAAAAAGGTATAAACTAAAATGGCAGAAGTCTAAATATGTCAGTAGTCACATTAAATATGAAAACAGTAAATTAAGACAAGATTAATTCACCAAGATATACATAAGCAAAGTGAGTCAGTCAGGTTGAAAATCAAAAGGATAAAAAAACGCTGCATAAATATCAACAGGAATCTTTCCCAGCACTCAGGAGCTGAAGCAGGAGGACTGCAAGTTCGAGTCCAGCCTGAACCACATGATAAGATCCCATCTCAAAAAATATAAAAAAGGCTGGAGTGCCTCAAGCACCTGACTAGCAAGCATGAGGCTCTGAGTTCAAACCCCAGTACCATGAAAAAAAAATCTTATTATTCAATAATTAATATCAGACACAATTAAGACTTAAAGCAAAACTTGAATCCCTTTCCCTTCCTCCCAACACTCACACACTCACCTTCTCTATCTGCCCGGAATCTCTTCATACTCCTCAGCTTTTTTATGCTGTCCATCAAAAGAAGTTGCAGACTTCCTATCTCTCATCTCTCACATTCTAACGCCACGCTGTTCTGCGTATCTATGACGCTTTCCCCACGTCTCACCCACCTCTCCCCAAATTTTGAAACCCTTGTACTGTGCCCTAAATTTCCCACATCTTCTCTGAACACGTCCTTCAACTTCTTGCCCTCCTCTAAGAGCTGTATCTCCCCCAGCCCTAAAATGGTAAGAGCAATCTTTCCCACACTCCTCACACGAGCAGACGGAGTAAGTGTCCTCCGCTCCTTGCAGATTCTTCAAGTCAGTCTCCTTCCTTCCTCCCTAAAAAGAAATCTATGCTTTGGAGGCTGGGGGCAAAGCTCAAGTGCTACAATACTTACTTAGCAAGGCTAAGACCCTGAATTCAATCCCCAGTACCACTAAAAAAATAAGTAAGTAAAATAAAAATTAAAAATCAAAGCCACCTATGCTTTGAATACCCTAATGAAAAGTATTTTCTGGCTTACTGTGAGACTACAACACTACTCAACTTAAGTCTAAGTGATTTAGTGATTTCACACAGGTGGTCACTCTGAACTCGTCTCTCTTCTTTAAATTTCTCACTTCCAATGACTTTGTTCTTTACCCACACAGCTCATAACCAAGCCCTCACAATCTCAAGTGTTGTATCCCATCATGTATTCCTGAAAACAAGTACATTAAATATACATCAAATATATTTCCAATTTCCTTTTGGTTTACTCTTCAAGTTATACCCCAAATGCATTCATCAGGTAAATGGATTGATTTGGCAGTAGAAGTTTGGGAAAGTTTTGACCTAGTATCTCTCATGTACTCAAACCGCAATAGCTTTTGACTCCAGCAGGACCTTCAATCCACTGACTCATCTTCTCCCCATTTCCTGCCACTTCATTTCTCCCCTCCCTCCTTCCTTAGCTGGTTCAAATTCCACAGTATATCAGAATCACTCCTTGCATATAATGCTCCTCTTGCTTTGTTCTAGTATCTTGATGAAACCCAGTCTCTAGTTAAATCCACCCCAAACATACATACCTGCAGATAAATATGTAAAAAACATACTGACTAATCTCCCTTTAAATTTATAACCACATGCCAGGTGCCAAGTGCCTCATATCTATAATCCTAGCTACATACGGAAGCAGAGATCAGGAGGATCATGGTTCAAAGTCAGCCCCAGGCAAATATTTCATGAGATCCTATCTCAAAAAAAAACTCTTCACAAAAAAGGGCCAGCAGAGCAGTACAAGCAGTAAGAATGCCTGCCTATCAAGTGTGAGGCCCTGATTTCAAACCCCAGTGCCACAAAAAATAAATAGATGACCACAAACCTCAAAGAGCCCTTAATGCCACCTGATAACCATAGCTATTTCCCTGTAGCAGCCATTCTCCTCAAGAACCATTTCACACCTTCTCTCTCCACTAACCTCCATCACCTCCTCCCAACAGTCACTCTCAGCTAAGTACTTTGCTTCCTAATTTGCTAATATTAAAACAATCAGAAGAAAACTTTCCCAAACTTCTACTGCCTAATCAATCTACCTACTTCATGGGTGTGTTTGAGATATAATTTTGAAAATTAAACCAAAAGGAAATTGGAGATATCAAAACCAAGTTTTAGGTTTTTGTTCAAATATTACTTTCTCAACCAGACCTTCCATTACCACATCTATGTGTCTGTCACACACACACACACACACACACACACACACACACATACATATGCACACAATCCCTTTCTCTTCTTTCCTACTGTGTTTTTTTGTGGGATTTTTTTCCCCTTGTTTTTTGTTTGTTTTACAATGCCAGTAATATCCAGAGTTTCAAAAAAAGCAAAGAATATGAAAAGAAAACACACAGAGAAATACAATTACAGGTTGAAAATTCCTATCAGAAAAAAAAAAAAAAAGAATATCCCTTACCCGAAAATTCAAAATCCAATGTTCCAAAATCCAAAACTTTTGAGTAAGAAGCATTTTAGATTTCAGATTTTCAGATTAAGGATATTCAATTGGTAAAGCCTATGCAAATATCCAAAATCCAAAACACTAAAATCTTAACAGTTCTAGTCTGCAGCTTTTTGGTAAGAGATACTCAACCTGTAGTCAAAAAAACACATAAAACACCCTCATCCGATAGCTACTCAAGAAAAACTGTTTTAATTCACCAGAAAACAGCCAATGTTAGAAGTAGGTAAGTTCATTATTTACTGGTAAGAGTGCAAACTGGTATTTTTTAAGATGCCTGATAAACAACAAACATTATACTCCAAAGAATATTCATGAGTCCATAATGATATAAATGACTGAATGAGGGAGAAAGTACAAGTCTCCTTACAAAAAAGTTACAATTAATAAATGTAGAAATAATGATAAATAGAAAATCATAATTAGTACACCACAGTAATAATGGCTACAGGTAAAATCCACTAAAAAATGCTAAAGTTAATGGGTGTATGCACAAGGCCTTGGCTCCCATGCGCAGGACCACCAGCAACAACCACCAAAAAAAAAAAAAAAAAAAGCAGGGATAGCTTTCAAGGAGAAATAATGTATTTACATAGCTTCAAACTAGCTTCACAAAATATTAATTATTATGGCAGTTTTAACATATGTCCAAATATTCTTTTTTGGAATATGGGGGCAGGGTCTCACTATGTAGTCCAGGCTGGCTTTTAACTCAAAATCCTCCTGTCTCAACCTCTAGAGTATTGGGATTACAGGCATGAATTATCATGCCAGGCTTGTCCACACAATCTTTTAATCTCTCTAGGAGATGTAATTTAATTCCTCTCCCCATGAGTATGGGCAGGATTTAGTGACACTTTTTTGTTTTGTTTTATGACATCTCAAAATGCAACCCAGACTAGCCTTGAACTCATGATCCTTCTTGCCTCAGCCTCCTGAGTACTGGGGAGTGACTCACTTTTAACAAACACAATATAAAAAGAGAAAACCAGGCTGGGGCCATGGCTCGAATGCTAAAGCACCTATCTAGAAAGCAGGAGGCTCTGAATTCAAACCCAGATACCACAAAAAAAAGAGAGAAACCAGAAATTTTATAGCAAAGAAACCTGGAAGACATTAACTTAGTCAAGAGATCAAGTTTAACATCTCCAAGGTGGGCATGGTGGTGCACAACTTTAATACCAGCTCCTCAAGAGGGTGAGGCAGGAAGATCACTTGAGTCCAGGAGTTTTAGGCTGCCAGGACAAAACAGTAAGACTCCCAACTCAAAAAAAAGGTTAATTATCACCAGAAACAAGATGTGTTGACATCATCTACCCTCAGATACTGCTGGGATGAAAAGGGCGTATCACCTTTGCGGTATTCTTAAAAATCCATTATCTCAGTATAATAATGAAAAAAACATCAAACCTTCCATATTGAGAGATGTTCTGTAAATACCAGACCAGTAATCTTCACAGGTGTCCAGGTAATAATAATAATAATAAAAAAAAAAAAAGTCAAGTTAAGACAGGAACTGTCACAGACTGGATAAATCTAAACACACATAATGGCTAAGGATTATAATGGATTATAAGGGCACATAATGGATAAGGACAGGATCCAAGGTTGAATCTAACTTTTTAGGACATTAGTGGAAAAATTGGAGAAATACAAATACAGTCTATAATTTGGTAGTTTTATCCCAGTGCTAATTTCTCACTTCTGATAAATGCGCTGAGGTTATAAAAGAGGCTAACATTAGGGAAAGCTAGGGGAGAGGCACATGGAAGCTCTCCATACTACCTTTATTCTCCTGTAAATCCAAAATTATTTCAAAACAAGTTTTTTCAAAAAGCGATCTGGGGCCAAAGTGCAGCTCAGTGTAGAGTGAATGCTTAGTATGCACAAGACCCTAGATTTAATCCCCAGTACTACAAAAAAGAAGTACATTTCTTCCCAAGGAAAATATTTAAAAAGCAATTTGACAATATTCACCAAAAATTTTAGAAAAGCGTATCTTTGCATCAAACAACCCAGAGAAACACTCATACACATCAACAAGAAGCATATAAAAATGTGTTCATTTAAGCATTGTTAGAAACACTTCTATGTATAACCAACTGGGGTTAAACAAAATGGCAGATTCATGTTATGAAATGAACACTACAAAGGGGTTAAAAGAATAAAGTGGATCTGTATGTCTCCAAAATACGCGTATTAAGAGGAGAGGACTGAGGGCATGGCTAAAGTGGTACAGAGCTTGCCTAGCAAGTACAAAACTGAGCTCAAATCTCAAGCCCACCAAAAAAAATTTAAAACAAAGCTCTGGGTTCAATTCTCAGCAAGAGGGAGTGAGGAAGGATGGGAGAAAAAAAACTGTTAGCAAGGATATGAGAAGATTAAAAGCCTCATATGTTGATGGGACAGTGTAAAACGCTGCAGTCGTGGAAAATTGTATGGCAGTTCATCAACATCTTAAGTGTAGAATTACTTACAACCTAACAATTTCACTGTTAGGTATAGACCCAAAAGAACTGAAAATAGGTATTCAAACAATCACAGTACATCAATGTTCACATTAGCAATATTCACAATAGCCAAAGGTAGAAATGGCACACTGACCATCAATAAACAGATAAACAAAATGTGATACAGCCATACGATGGAATGTCAGGCCATAAAAATGATGGGGGTTCTGGGCCAGGCATGGTGGCACATGCCTATAACCCCAGCACTAGGGAGGCTGATGCAGAAGAGTCCAAGTTCAAAGCAATCCAGGGCTACAGAGCAAGACCGTCTCAAAAAACAAGTATGTTAGAAAATGAACTTAAGCACAATATGAAGTGAAAGAAGCCAAACATATGATGTCACATATTGTATAGAATTCCATTTATTTGAAAAATCTAGGATAGGTAAATCCGCAGAAAGCAAACTGGTGTTTACCAGAAATGGAAATGAAAATAAGTAATGAATGTTTAGTGAGTACAGGGTCTCCTTTGGGTGTAATGAAAAAAGTTCTGGAACTAGACAGAAGTGACTGTGGCACATCATAAAACAGTTAATTTTATATTATATAAATATAATATATAAAAATATTTTAAAAGTCCAACAGTTGCTGAACACTGGTGGCTCACACCTATAATCCTCGCTTCTTGGGAGGCTCAGATCGGGAGGATCACCGTTCAAGGCCAGCCAGGAAAAACAGTTCTCAAGACCCCATCTCCAAAACGACCAGAGCAAAGAGAAGTGTGATTCAAGTGGTCCAGTGACTGATTTGCAAGCACTAAGCCCAGAGTTCAAACCCCAGTCCCACCCAAAAAAAAAAAAAAAGTCTTAACATTCAGAACATCTCTGTAGTAGGAGTTATTTCTGCACCCACTTTATGGATACAAAAACCTCAGCACAGAGAATTAAATGATCAAATTCAAAGGGAATAGATACAGGAGTAAAGGTTCGAAGTCATGGCTGTGCTCTTAATTAACCTGTTACATACCACTTCCTTCTTTATTTTTTTCTCTATTTTTGTCTTTCTTTAATAGTCTCCCTATGTCACCCAGGCTGGACTTAAACTCCTGGGCTCAAATGATCCTCCTGCCTCAGCTTCCCTATTTTAATGAGAAACTAAAGGAAAAATATCAGAAATATTATACAAGGAACTATTGTAACTATAACTTTAGTATTGGCTTATCATAGCCAACACTATTTAGTAGATCTACATTTCAAGCATTGAAAACTTCAACCACATACTTGGGAGACTGAGGCAGGAGAGTCACAAGTTCTAAGTCAACCTGCACTACATAGGAAGATCCTGTCTCAAAATAACTTCGGCTACCAGGAAGGTTATAATATTCTTGGGCTAGTACACAACGGAAAAATTAGTCCACAGTGTGTGAAAGGATTGTTATGTTCTCAGCTTCCATGCCTAATCAAAAATTTAATTGTATAAAAACTGAATATAATTCTACTTAATCTTACTAAAATGTTAGGACATCAGGAAACCACAAGTAATCAGGATGAAAGTACCAAATCTCCTTTCTCCAAAGCTTTTTCTACTAGATGACAAAACACACAATAGTAAATGTTGCATTGTTTCCTGTGCTCCCAAACTACAACATATAATAATAACATCTTACATCTAACTTATAGGATCATCATAACATTATAGGCTAGCACATTAGAGATAAGTGTCAAATATCAACTTTTTTTTCTTTTTTTTTTTGCTGGAACTGGGGTTTGAACTCAGGGCTTTGTACTTAC